AGGTCGTATCTCTCACGGTTGAATTTGATGGCTAAATGCTGCAAGGAGAAAACAGGCTGCGCTTATGACAACCATTCTCACTAAAGGAATTGAAAAAGCACTAGAGGTATTACATTCCACATAACTTACTTTATATTAAACTGTTAGCCTTTATTTTTTGATCCATCTATTTTAATTACTGTGTCTTTCCTCTAACAGTCTCGAGTGACTCGCGCTAGTAAGCTAAGTGTTCAGGAGATTGATCCCCATCAATACGAAGTGAGGAGTCTTGCGTTTATGAATGTTGTTAATTTAAAACAGAAGAAGTGTACATGTCGTATGTTTGACCTCGACAAACTGCCTTGCATACATGCGATAGCCGCAGCTGATTCAGCTCATGTATCAACGATTTCAAAGGCCCATCCTTACTATCGCTCAGAATACTTACGCAATGGTTATTCAAAATCTGTAATGCCAAAGGATGAGGCTTGTTCTGTACCTGATTCAGTCACCGGGAAGGTTGTCAATTCACCTTTTGTTAAGGTTCAATCTGGGAGGCCGAAGATGTCACGGATGAAAGGTCATTTAGAGGTTGCATCACCGCGCAAAGTACCAAGGAAAGCATATGCTTGTTCTAACTATTGAAATGCTGGCCACAATCGGCTGTCTTGCAAAGCTTAATACATTTGGTGATTTGAACATATCTCTACTCTATGTTGGACCAATTTGTATGAATACATTTGTTTTCTCTATGTGTTGTTGTTTTCAGTGAAGCAATCCTTAATATCAAAAACAGAGTTGTTGTTACAAAAAAACAGAGAACTACAACATCATTGGGAATGCTATTAACACATATCATGGAACCTATTTGCGTAATTAAAAACTAAGCAATGCTGACAAACAGTTAAATCCGTGTTGTGGTCAAAATAGCATATTGGATACTCTAAGAAATGGATATATCCTGAAAAAAATTCTCCGTCCTCCAGGACCGATAAATCTGACATGGCTTTCCACCACATCCGCAATGTCAATCGCATCTTACAAAGTTTCAAATCTAGCCATAAAGGTTCTGTTAACTATCATACCTTGTTCATAGGATCCACAGCATAAGAGCATAACGGCAAATCCAAACATAGTGTAGAGGTCAGAATAACCTACTTCTCCAAGCATCGTCGCAAAAACGTCGCTACGGTATTATTTCCTCGCAAAATTCGTCGCTAAAGTTCCTCGCAAAAGCGTCGCACATATTTCTGTCTCCCTATAAATACCGATGTGCTTCTTTCTAAATGAGCAACGAAAAAACAGAATATCTTAAAATTTAAACACTTTCATTAAAATCTTATATAAAAAATATAAATATATATTTGTGCTATATCTTTGAGATAATGTCTTATGGGCATCATGAGATTTATGTTCGACGGGCATGGATGTATCAGCATAAAGATTCAAATGGAATGGTGACGTCGGAGTTTGTTGATGGACTAGAAGAATTCTTGGAGAATGGAAATCAGATGTCATTGACGCAGGAAAGTGGTGAGATACCTTGCCCATGTCGAAAATGCAAAAATGGTAAACATTTTTCTGTAAGAGTCGTCGGAAAGCATTTATATAATAGGGGATTTATACCAAATTATTATGTATGGTTTTGGCATGGTGAGGCAAATATGGTGAATGCATCGTCTAGTGGTACTAGTTTTCAGCATGTAGAAGAACCTCATATAAATTTTGAGCATCAGTTTGATTATGATCATCAAAGTCATACTAGGTTTCATGATATGGTCCACGATGCATATCATGAGACATCAACATTATCTGATAACATTGAAGAACCAAATGTAGATGCTCAACAATTTTATAATATGTTAGATGCTGCAAATCAACCACTCTACGATGGATGTAGAGAAGGATTATCTAGATTATCACTAGCATCTAGGATGATGAACATTAAAACAGATAATAACTTATCTGAGGTTTGCATGGATTCATGGGCTGAATTGATAAGCGAGATTTTGCCAGAGGATAATTTAGCTGCTGAGTCATATTATGAGATACAAAAGTTGGTATCAAGTCTTGGGTTGCCTTCAGAAATGATAGATGTCTGCATTGATAATTATATGATATTCTGGAAAAATGATGATCAGTTGCAGGAATGTCGATTTTGTGGGAAGCCAAGATATAAGCCGAGTACAGGGCGAACAAAAGTCCCGTACCATCGAATGTGGTATCTTCCAATAACGGATAGGCTTAAACGGCTTTATCATTCAGAGAGAACATCCGCGTCAATGAGATGGCATGCCGAACATTCACGTATAGATGGAGAGGTCACACATCCATCAGATGCAAAGGCTTGGCAACATTTTAACACGGTATATTCAGAATTTGCAAGAGAGAGTAGAAATGTTTATCTTGGTCTATGCACTGACGGGTTTAGTCCATTTGGTATATCTGGTAGACAGTATTCTTTGTGGCCGGTAATCGTTACACCATACAATCTACCGCCAGATATGTGTATGCAACGGGAATTTTTATTCTTGAGTATTTTGGTGCCTGGTCCTAAGCATCCTAAACGTTCTCTTGATGTTTTTCTACAGCCTTTGATCTATGAGTTACAACAACTTTGGTATACTGGAGTTAGTACATTTGATTACTCACAGCAACAAAACTTTACAATGCGTGCAGTACTGATGTGGACAATCAGTGATTTTCCTGCGTATGGAATGCTATCAGGTTGGACAACACATGGCAGGTTATCTTGTCCTTATTGCATGCATCAGACGGATGCGTTTCAACTTAAGCACGGTCGCAAGACAAGTTGGTTCGATTGTCATCGTCGGTTTCTTCCAGTAAGCCATCCGTATCGAAAGAACAAAAAGCTTTTTACGAGGAACAAAGTGATCCGTGCACCTCCACCTGTATATTTCTCCGGGGAATACTTGGCTGAGCAACTAGATTATTGGGGTGCTCAAGAAACGGCTAAATGTGGGGGAAATTGGCATATTCCCGCAAATATGCCAGATGGATATCTGGTTGATCACAATTGGCATAAGAAGAGCATATTTTGGCAACTCCCGTATTGGAAGGATCTTCTTTTGAGGCACAATCTTGATGTGATGCATATCGAGAAATTCTTTTTTGATAACCTCATGTATACACTTTTGAACGTGCAGGGACGAAGTAAAGACAACTTAAAAACCAGATTAGATTTGCCTGATATATGTTCACGACCTGAGTTGCATCTTACAAGAGATGGGAAGGTTCCAGTTCCAATTTTCAGATTATCTGCGGTTGCAAAGTCAACACTTTTTGAGTGGGTTAAGTCGGATGTTACATTCCCAGATGGTTATGTTTCTAAACTTTCGAGAACTGCCGAGCAAGGGCAAAAGTTTTCAGGGATGAAGAGTCATGATTGTCATGTCTTTATGCAACGTCTATTGCCATTTGCAATGGCAGAGCTATTACCTCGGAATGTTCATGAGGCAATTGCAGGTACACATGACACTATAATTCAACCAAACTAATGTGTGTATATATATTGGAGTCTCTGATGAAGTACCATTACAAAACACACAAGGGGATATTTATGTTCCAGAACATACAGTCGAGAACATCATACTTATTGATCAAAACAATCGAGAAATTGAAGAGGCTGGTGATTACTCTGAAGTTGAAGATGTAGACTCTGATGAGTTTGATGAGAACTCAGAATCAAATGATAGTTCTGATGATGAAGAATGTGAAACTTGATATGATTGTATTTATCTTGTGGATTATGTTCAATAAAGTTTGAATTCTTGTTTTCTATATATGATCTTATCACATACATATGTTGCTTATTTACATATATGTTATCTTAGACTTATAAGCAACATTCAAATACATAAATTGAAATTTTCTTTTAAAACAAAATCATTCATTTGTATATACCATATAGTATATATACATTAGTTTGATCAATATCAATAAGGAAATCTTAAATTACACAATATTTTATTTAGTATTGCGAGGAAGTTGCATCGAATTAGCGACGCATAGACGCAAATTCGTCGTTTCTTCATCGCTAAAACAAAAAATTTCGAATTCATTTTTGACTGAAATAATGAAATATTTTGACGTTTTGCAAGGAATTTGCGAGGAATCATAGCAATACAGTCGCAATATTTAACATCGTCGCCCTTGCGCTATTTTTTTTGCCTTTGCGACGAAAATGCTTGGAATAAATGTTGTTTTGCCAAAAAAAAATATCAGCGGGAAGAAGACGCGCCAAGTTATTGGCTTAATTTTCGGTGAAAATTAAACCTTGATTTTGCGTCAAATTAGTGTTTCTCACTGATTATTTATATAAGCGGTGGAACTTTTTACTCTCTAATTTGCTGCTTTTTGAGTTTTCTCTCGTTTCGTCTTCTCTCCCAAACCCACAGAGGCTACCAGCCATTGTCTCTTCGAATCCAAGGTCGTTTCTACTCCTGGGTTACTCTCTTTTCTTGCTCTCGTTGACACACAAGGTAATTTCTTGACCTGGGTTACTCTCTATGATTTAATTGTTCAATTGATGTTTAGGGTTTTTAATCTGAGAACAATAAACGGGGAAATTTGTTGTTGCTTGTGGTCAATCTGCTGTTGTTTTCATGTTTATTTCTATCTCTCTTCGTATCTATATGATTTAATTGTCCAATTGATGCTTAGGGTTTTTAATTGCAGAATAATAAACGGGGAATTTGTTGATGCTTGTGGTCAATCTGTTGTTGTTTTCATGTTTATTTAACTCCATCGTTACATTTTGTTCGTGTTAAACATTATGTTTGAATAATAGAGTGGTTTTGTTTATCAAATACGTAGGAGGATTAGATATTTCTCATTTGTGTTGTAATTTTTTTTTTATCTAATAGTTTTTAGATATGAGCATGGTTTGGTTGCTTTGTTTTTTTAAGCTTTTGCTTGATTCCTTAGGTTTTAATGGCCTGTTTCATTCTATTTTTTTTTTTAATGTAAATAATCCTTTAGTTGAATTTCGTTTTAGGTAAAGTCTAACATATTAGATTTATATTAGTTGCTGATATTTGATGTTTACAAATGTAGATGAATAGAGGTCATTATTCCAGATTTGTAAGCAATAGAGGAGGACGGTCTACTGCTGCCACAACTTCACGGTTGCCACACACCACATCAGTGTCACCGACGTCCACTCCAGTTCAAGAGACTGATCAGTCTACTGCTGATAGTCCTCCACCACAAGCTCGAGCGCATTACGATATGGGTCAGCTGTTGCTAGACGAGCTTCTTGTAAGCCTGGGACGGTCTGGACTTACAAAGTTAGACCCTAAACGTCCACCAAAAATACATTGGTAAGTTTTTATACTTCTAGTTTATTTATTATGAAGTTCAATGAATTTTTTTTTATATTAGTACTAACTTTTGTTGTTTTCTGTAGGTTTGAAATCGATAATAATATTGGGAAGGTGGTATCAAACTGTATTGAAGGTTACTTCACCGAACCTCACGCTAACATCTCACAGACGCCTCCGGATATTCTGGATACTTGGTTTCACATGTTTGCGGTACAACTGTATTCCTAAATTTTAACAAATTTTAAAGAAACTGTATTCTTAAGTTTATTTTATTTCTTTGATCACAGCAACAATACAACTGGGACAACTCAATTGGGGCTACCGTACGGATGCTTTTTGAAAAAAAAGTGGCCACCCGCTTGTGTGATATAGTTTGCAAGTGGAAACTTAAGTGGAGGGACATAGGCGATGAAGCTATGCCTGGGTGGATGGATCCAGAAGTATGGAAGGGCCTCAAAGTTTTTTGGGTTGATCCAAAGTCTGAAGGTCGAAGCCAAAGCTGTTCAGTTTCTCGCAACACTAGCGTGGGCGGTCACGGGCCGAGTAGACACACCTCGGGGCAGAAGACTTTTGCTGCTCGCGCATTAGATAGTGTAAGTCTTTCAGACTTTACATTTTATTAATAAAGTTTCTGATTCATGGTTATTGTTTAAATTTTGGTGTTAGGCTGAGAAGAATGGAGGTGTACTCCCTCCAATTGTCGAGATCATGGAGCAGACTCACAAGAGAAAAAATGGAACCTTTGTTGATGGTTACGCAGAGAAAATATGCAACGATGTCTCCGCCAAGATTGCAGAGCGTGAGTCTCAGCTTTCTCCGGGTACTTCTGACCACCATGGTGGCTTATCGACGGCGGAGAAGAATGCCATCTTATATCAGGTATAATTTTCCAACTCTTCTTAGGTTATATATATGCACCAACTTGATTTCTTCTATCGCCTATTTAATATTTAATACTGCTTATGTTTTTGTGGTGTAATGAATACTATACTATACATTGAATCTTTTCCAATCCTCATCATCACGTAGCATCCAACAACAGCTCTTTTATTACTATATAGATGTATGTCTTTCACCATTTTGGCTATTTGTGGTTTTGGTAACATATGCTATTATTGGTTCTGTTGTGGTAATATGCATCTTTTTCTAGGTTCCCTCTTTTACAACGCAATCCTTTTCAATCTTCTTCTTCCTTTTTTCTAATTGATTTTCCTTCAACATGTTTTTTTCCCAGACTGCTCCGAAGAATAAAAAGGGACGGATTTATGGTGTTGGTTCCATTCAAGTAATACCAACAGTTTCATCCTCTGCTCCTACGCCTACAGAAGAATCTGCCGAGCTGAGACAAAACTTGGAAGCGGAGAAGAAACGGAATGCTGAGCTTGTTTCACGGATAGAGGGGTATGATCATCTCTCCGGGATTCTCGCACATGACTTCCCAGCTTTAGCAGCAGCGCTTAGAGCTCAGAAACAACCTACAGAGACAGCACCAAACCACACAGATGAAGAGCTAGCACGAAACAACACAAGCGACGCACACAATGAGACAGATTTCGAAGACGCAAGGACTGAAGCTGCGACAGCACACTTATCTCCTCATGCATGATTCCAAGCTTTGTTTCTTTCTCCTGTATATTCAAACGTTAATCCTTTTTGGTGGAGCAGCACATAACTCCTTAAGTATATATAATCTACTTCCCAAGCTTTTGCTTTTTTTGCATATGCAATTAAACGTTTATCTTTTTGTTTTAATATCAAACAATTTTATTTTTTAACTCCACTTTTAATTTCGAATAGGAATTTTAATTTTGAATTGAAATTTTATTTTGTGGTTTGCCTGGTGATAGCGACGAATTTGCCTGGCTTTCCTAGTCGTTATTTTGCGACGAATTTGCTTTGTTATTCTAGAGAAGCAAATTTGCTTGGAATAATTCCTTGCTCTGTCGCCGCAGTTTTGCTTCGATATAAGCGTCGCAGTTGCGACGATTTTCTAGAGTGGAATATGCGACGCCATTATTATCGTCGCAAAATAAGCATCGTAATTGCGACGGAATGTTAGAGTGGAATTTGCGACGATTTTATTTCGTTGCAAAATTAGCGACGAAAGTGCGACGTATTACGATTTGCTTCGAACGATTAGCGACGAATACGGCCGCGTCGCTATATCCAAGCAAAAGTCAGTTTGCGACGAGAGTGCGAGGAATTAGTTCCTCGCAAAAGGCCTGTTTTCTTGTAGTGGTTTGTGTTGTAACGGTCATCACATATGATCTGATAACCTCAAGGACACTGTCACGTCACCTTTCCTCTCCAAAGGGGTTTTCTTAACGTAAGTCATTGATTGGAACGATAATACATAGTCACGATGACTAGATTCAGTGAACCAAATGGAAACGAACAAACAAGAATAATTAAATAGTGTTTCTTGAAAACCGCTTCTTGCTTAGATTGAGCCACTTCGTTACACTGGCGAAGAATGTTTTTGGTGGTACTATTGGAGTGTGGTTATCCCCGGTTTAGTTTAATTTATCTTGGTTATGTTAACCGAGATTGTATAGCTTTAGTATACTTGTATAAATACTCTGTACAAATACATTTTACAATCTAATGAGAAATAAACATTCATAACAAACTTTCTCATCTTCTTCTCTCTCAAGTAATATGGTATCAGAGCCATCAAGCTCGAATCTCCATTGATTTCGATTTGATTTCTTCGTTTTTGAGCTCAAAAATCATCATCTACAATGGTGACAGCTCGTGTTATTCGGAAATCCACTCGATCGAAGTCTGGAACAAGCTCCGCTACTCGGAAAACGTCGCGATCGTCTGATGTTGTTGAATCTCCTCCGCCTACTCCTCCAGTTGCTAAATCTCGAGCTTCTGGAGCTTCGCGCACCGTCGCAACATCGGAATACTCAGATCAGGCGTATTCTCCTTTCTTTCTTCACAGTGCCGATCATCCAGGTTTGGTTTTAGTCGCGATTCGTTTAGATGGAACTAACTATGATGATTGGGATGCTGCGATGCGTATTGCTTTAGATTCAAATGGGAAAATAGGATTTATAGATGGATCCTTAGCTCGTCCTAATGAATCGGATGCAAATTTTCCTATCTGGTCTAGATGCAACAGTATGATAAAGTCTTGGCTCTTGAATTCGGTTTCTCCACAGATCTAT